ATTTTTTCATCAGAATAATAACTTTTTCGGATATCATAATTAAGGCCAATTACTATATATATATATATATACAGCCGCCTCACACCCAAAGCACGCGCACATATAGAGACGCATCTGAGAGCGTACGCCTTTGCGCGTAAACGGCCAAATACATACAAAAATATGTCAAAGTGCCCGTCTTGATGAGTATTCATGTAAACAGTCGATTTATACTAAACATTGTCGGTATACAGGCTATTAAGTTAATGTAAACAAACAGTTGAGAAACAAAACTTGTGTAAAAGTTTGATCCGTGCATGAGGTCTTAAAGAGACAGCAACCTTAAATAAACCTGCTGCTGTCAGTCATTAATGTTTATTTATACATTGAAGACTAACCAGTGTTATTTTAAAGTTAAATAGATTATTCTGTTTCTGTGGTATTTCTGTACCTGAATATTACTGAAAAACTTAAAGCACAGTTAATTTTAGTTGTATCTTGTTATTGTAATTGTTTGTGCCATTGCTTGTCATTAATCTATTCTTATTTTATTACTGACTGTTTACTTGTAAAATAAATTCAGTTCAGTTTGAAAGTTTTTTTTTTTTTGAGTATCTTCCTCACAATATAAATATGAATCATTTCAATATAATGAAACATTATAAATTGTAAAACACAAATACACTGGGTGACGAAACATTTAGGTTGGATGATTGTAGTTATCTTCCTCACAATATAAATATGAATCAACAACATTATAAATTGTAAAACACAAATACACTGGGTGACGAAACATTTAGGTTGGATGATTGTAGTTTAAAAATATGTCTAAGAAAATACCCTAACTCCCCCTCAAATTAAAAAATACCCCCATAAGAGCCACCTAAAGGGGGAATTCCCCCCCATTTTCCATTTATACTATACATATAGTAAAATATATTTGATATTATGTACTATATGAATTCGATATTCAGTACTCTCAGTAAATTTCTGGTTGAAATATAACAATATATAAGTAAAATGGCAGCATTTGACATTTCATGTTGACTTTACATGCTGTAGCACAAAATGCAAAAGTTTGGCAACATTGTGTTTTTGTCAGTTTGTAATCTGGTGTGTGTAACTATGCCTGTATATAACGGTGCCCTTTTGGCACGACGTTAGCGTGACTGTTCTACAACTGTTCTAACTGTGGTTCTTCTTTCTCTGTTCCTCTTGGGAAAAGCATGGGGCTGAGTGTGGGGGAGGCCACTCACAGTGCGTCCCACTGGATAAGTTTAGCCTCCCTGTCCTCCGTTGTCCCTGTCTCTCACTGTTTTTATGTCTGAGGACCTCTACTTTGCCTCTGTGTGTTTAAAACAGTCAAGGCCAGCAACCGCGAGCACAGCCATTCGATTTATGTGTGTACTGTCTTTTTCCCTTTTGTGTTGCAAGAGCCGCCTCTCCGTCAGCTAAGTACGTCATGCTGCATCCAGGTTTGCCGTGCGATGGCTCATCTCAGCGCTTGGCTTCACTCGTGTGTTTATGTATGTGCGTGTAAGGATGGGAGATGGGATTTTCATAGATGTCTGGGACTGTACTAGCATGGGCTGACATGTACAGTTGTTCCCATATACAGCCGGTTGACAGTATTCTGCATTGATCATGGACTTCAGCACATGCCATGAGGCTTTTTACCTCATGCAATACGTTAGAGGAACGTCTAACTGCACTGCAGGTAAAGAATATTGAGTCACGAGCTTAACCCAGAGCCCTTTTTAAAGGAATGTTCCAGGTTCAATGCAAGTTATACCTGCAAGCTTTTGCTGCATAATGTTGATTACCACAGAAAATTATTTTGACTTGTCCTTTTTGTTTTTATAACAAGCAAAAATTGTGGTTGTGTTAAGGCACTTACAGTAGAAGGAAATGGGACAATAAAATTGCATTAAAGTTCAAAGTCATTTTAAAGCCATTAAAAAGCCAGTGTGATACTAATTATTTCTGTGTAGAATGTATCCAATATTATGATACATGACTTTTTATCTAGAAAAAACTCCCAACCTTTTGCTAATTTAATAAAAAGTATTGTTGCAATTATTTGTGTAATAATAATATATAAAAAAATATATAAGTATATAATATTATTATTATATATATTTTATATCATTTTTTAAATAATTATTTGTATATTCAAAATGCAGATTTGTATTTATAATAATCATATATTTGATTCAAATATATTTTTTAAAAGCAAAATTCATTTTTTAATAAATTCAAAAATGAACAGCATTTATTTGAAATAGAAATAATTTATAACATTATTTCTTTATGGTCACTTTTGAGCAATTTAAAATATACTGGGTGAATAAAAGTGTTTCTTTAAAAAAAAAACTTTTGAACTGTCACGTGTTATTTATATTTATATATTATTTGTAAGAAATATTAATAATGTCTTATAAGAGAAGAGTCAAAATTATTTCTTGTGGTAATCAACACTTTGCCACCAGTACTGTCAGTAGAGCTGAATTTGTAAAGAAACTGGAACATTTCTTTATGATATGCCATAATTATTGCCATGCCATTGGGCTAAAATGGTATACAGTTGGGTAACTTGCATAATTTTTTGGAGGAAACCTCCTTGGAGCAAGCTATGGACCCACAAAGGTAAAACCAAGTTTAGATGAATTTAGATGTTCACACTTTTTGACATATACCTGTGACATTGCCTTGGATTATTGGGTAGCTTTCATAATTAATAGATGTAGTCCTGCAAAAGAAGGTTTCAAAGTTTGAAGCAATATCCACTGCCTTGAAAAAGACCAAATGCCTCAGAAGTCCAGTTGATCAGCATTGATCATGATATGCTGTCCAATCAGAAGCCGTACCTCCACGCCATCCTCTGTGAACCCGGCAGGCTCGACCTCATCACGGTCTTCCACATTCCCACCCTACTCTTGCCCTGACAAAGACATCCTGGCTTGGCTGTCATCGCATTTGCTGTGTGGGTGTCGGTGTCAGGTCTGTGTGTCAGCGAGTGGTTAACTGCCGGTTTCCTCATGCTTCTACAATTTGCTTCTTGCAGGAATGGGTAAAAAGGACGATCCAAAGCTGATGCAGGAATGGTTTAAACTGGTGCAGGAGAAGAATGCCTTGGTGCGCTATGAATCGGAGCTGATGATATTGTGAGTAGACACCCAATTTAAGATTCATTGCTCATTTCCCATTTCTCAATGCTCTTAATTTTTTTCTTAATACTTTTTAATTTTAACTTAATTTTCTAGTCTATCCACATTAAGAAGTTTTTTCAAACTATAAAAATAAATCAGAGCTTTATTTATTTATTTATTACAAAGAAACTCATATTCTTGTATGTTAATGTTTCTCCGTAAAAAAAAAAAATGTTATAATCGACACATTTTCCATTACACTGTTCTCCAAAACAACAGCCAAAAGTGGGAAAAAATATTTGCTGATCCAGCTTGAAGTTTTTGTCAAGTTTTTAGGATTAGGGTGTTTTGACTTTTACATTTGTGATAATTTTATGAAATTTTAAGATTTTTTTTAAAAAACTGTATAAAATAAGCCAAAACCTTTAAGTTATAAATTAAGAATTTGCATGTTAATGTATGTGAATCTTAATAATTTTTGTAGTTTTTTTAAGTTTTATTAATTTATTAATTTATTTTTTTTCCCAAAATGTAATATTAACAAACTCCAGTGTATTGTCTGGAGTCTGGATGTTTGTATTCATTGTACAAAAGGAACAAATGCTTAGTCTTTCGAAACAAGAACTGATGGTCTCTAAAAGGCAAATTCGCTGTAGACAACAAGATGGTGCTGAAATATTATACCAGATGCATTTATTTGATTCTGTTTTGTTCTATTTACATTGAGTGGATACGAGATGCAATTACATAGTGACTGTGCCACAGATGTAATCAACTGTGCAATTCTGTTTGCAAAGATGAGCACCAAATGGCCCATACATTCAGTTTCATCAACAAAACCCAAATTACAAAGGGGTTTTCATCAAGAAAAGAAAAACCATGTTTGTGGGATCTCCATAGGGAGATATTAACAGTTATGCAGTTATTGGCTGTATCACATTTGTCATCAATACTTAAGTTCAGTCGGTCAGTATTGGATATGTAATTATATGTGCTTGTTTCCCCTATTTTTACATTTAGATTTTCACAAATGTAGAAGTGCTCACTTAGAGTTAATATTTAATACACTTATAATTTAATAAGACTTTAAAATGTAATCTTTAGCAAGTCTCAAAATTAATATCCATTTTCATAATGTGCATTAAGGTAGTGAAGCCTAAATTCACTTAAATTATTTGAATTGTTTGATTTTTAATTTTAATATATTATTTTAAAATAGTATAGCATTTAAAAATTGGCCATTTTGAAACCTGAGTATGAATATAATTATTAGACCGAATTTTAATAACAGTGCAAGAAGTTTAATAACAAACAACTGATCAACCAAATAAAAGACGATCCACCAGTGCTTTTAACGTTTGCTTTAGTTCTTCTCAAAGTACATGGCTTAAAAGTGCATCTGCTCATCCATACCCTCGTGTTTGTCTGGACTGTCAAGCATAAACCAAACATCATGGTGATTTAATGGCAGATGGTTCCTTAATATCTATGTGTCGCATCAAGGAATCCAATAACTTTGAACATCAAAGATTTTTCAAACGTCCTCACACAAACTCTATAGTTTAACAGACGTTTGTTCTCTTCTTCCATTCAGTTCTACTTCTTCCTTTTTCTCTGCAGTGCTCGTGAGCTGGAGTTGGAGGACAGACAGAGTCGACTGCAGCAGGAACTGCGAGAACGCATGGCAGTGGATGGTACTTTGTGCTCCAGTATAGGCCTGATCATATTGTAACACCCAAAAAAGTGATACGCATTTTTTTTAAATCAATTTTTCACTCTCTGCAGACCATCTGAAGACCGAGGAGGAACTTGCAGAGGAGAAACAGATTCTGAATGAAATGTTAGAGGTAGTCGAGCAAAGAGATTCTCTGGTGGCCCTGCTGGAGGAGCAGAGACTCAGGGAGAAAGAAGAGGATAAAGACCTGGAGTCGGTGATGCTCTCTAAGGGTTTCAACCTCAACTGGGCTTAGCATAACAATGGCGAAACGGTTCTGACCGCCAGCGATTCCGTTTCACCGCAGGGAGTGTAAAAAATTGCAGAAAGAACCGGTCTGTCTCTCCCCTCGTTTTATTGGGCATGTCAAGAACGTTTACAAATCCACTCATGAGCACGATGATGATGTTTACGAGTACGACTCGGGGCGTTTTGTCCCTCGGCAGCCAAGGCATTGGGTTTTTTTTTTGGTCTTGAAAAGGGACATATCAATCCTGCTGATGTTGAGGAAGTCTGAGACTAATGATCTTACTAAAAGCCCGTCTTGTTTTTCAGAGAATGTCTGGTCAAACAGCTGTTACGTTTTCATGGACAAAATGTGTTTGGATAAACGTATAAGCATCATACCTCCAAGCAACAAATGGATGAAGTCTTTATAGGTGTGGTTCACAGATAAGCATGTGACAGACTTCTGTAATTGTCACAGACATCCTCAGCGACCGACACGTTGTGTTTGTAGCATCGACAATTGCACAATTTTCAAATCTGTCAGTAGCCACCTGATATTAGAGATATTGGTGTATGCAGGGAGCGCAACGATCTCGATGTTACGTACTTCACTGATGTTGGTTTCCATTTGTCTCGAGTGGCGTTAGCGGACATATATACTAAAATCAGTTTACAATCATTTATAATCCATGAATATCTGATACTTGTATTATAGTTTACATAAAGCAGTGGAGTATATATTAGTATGTAAACTTCCTCAATGCAGATAGTTCATAAGATTATCTATATACACACAATATGCATTGATATACAATCAAATGCATTATGCATTTGTTGGTTGGTCAGTGGTTTCATGAACAGTTAAGGCACCCACTGCTTTTCTGACTTTATTTAGTATCAAATCAGATGAAGAATTGGTGCCCATTTTCACATTTAATTATCTGCCACCATGGTTTGGTGTCATATTCCACTTTCTCCAGGTTTAGAGCAACATGCCTTTTTTAACTTCTCATGCAACAGCTTTTCACATCCACAGAGTTTTCTTATGTTTGCAGAGTGTGTTATTTATAATTGTCTTTGTAAAGTTTTATACCACATGAAAACGTTCCAGCACTGTCGACAGACACCGGTGCTGATTAACAGCGGGAGAACGTAGTCATGCTCGCAACATCGATATTGCAAGTGAACATGCCTTTTTCCTAAGTGTACATTTCATTTTAGTCACCGTTATGCTGTATAGATGGGCACATATTTTTTTTCTTTTACTGTAAGTACAGATAACTGTGAATAAAAACGTACACTTGGTCAAAGAGTTATTTAGACTAAAATGTTTGACCGATTTTATGGTATTTATTAACGTGTGAAAAAATGTATTATATGTAAAGTAAATGAATCCTAATTTTAAAAAATATGTTGGTTCTTGATTTCATTTTAGTCACCGTTATGCTGTATAGATGGGCACATATTTTTTTTCTTTTACTGTAAGTACAGATAACTGTGAATGAAAACATACACATGGTCAACGATAGTTATTTAGACTGTAAAATGTTTGACAGATTTTATGGTATATTTATTAACGTGTGAAAAATGTATTATATGTAAAGTAAATGAATCCTAATTTTTAAAAATATGTTGTTGGCTCTTGAAAATGCTTAATGTTGCTAATTTGCATATTGGGTATTGGATGTATGCAGAGGCAATAAAACAATGCAGTTGTTACAAATGACTACAGTGCTTGAAAGTTTTTTCCACCTTTTTTTTGCAGTTTAACTTCAACTTCTTAATATGCAGGCTTTATTCAAATGTATTCAACCTTGGTGTGCTTTTTTTAAACAAGAAATTTAAATTTGGAAAATTTTGCAATGTTGGTCAGCTTTCAAAATTTAACCCATTAAGATTGTGATATTTGCATATGAATTCTGAAGCCTTTTTTAACATCTGCATAGGTAATTATGGTGTTTATTATTATTATTATTATTATTTTACATATTTATCCATCAAGCATTTCAATGTTGGTCTGTATTTTTTTTTTTACCTGAAGCTTACCACTTGCCACTGTTCATTTGTATCTTTGCAAGTACTGGTGTTTGCTTCAGGAAAGGGACATTCGCTATTCAAATCTTTTAAAATCCAAGCAGATCTTTTCAGACTTAAAAACTACACAGCAAGAAAATACATATAAGAGGGAAACTGTAGTAAATCTTGACCTTTGGAAGTAGGGAACGTGCAAAAATTATTTTGCATTATGTAGCACAAAAACCAACTTCCGATTTCCAATTTAAACATTAACCCTGAGCCAGTGCATTCATAATGGCGGTGGGAAGTCTGACTCATTTCTCGAATCGGTTCCTTTGAACAGTTCGTTTCAACTTTTCACAGTTCAAAGAACTCACTTTCACTTTCAACTTTTCGTTCGTTTCAAATGTGTCGGTTTAGTAAAACGATTCGCTGCATTATTTTATCACGTTTCTTGATATCTTGGCATATTATGCTCTAAAATGGTCCAGTACCACACTTTTATTAAGTTTTATTATTAAAGTGGTTTGTTGTGATTTTATGTGTCCCATTTCGATTCATGATGCTATTTCAGAACCTATAAAACAGTTTTCATTTGCATATCTTGGCTGAAAATATTGCTATTGACGCTGCGCGCCGGACGTGTTCGAAAAAGACAGCCCATATTTACTCGAGATCCGCTCGCACCAACTCGGTCCGATTCCTGAATGAATCATTCAGACCGTTTTTGTGAACTGGTTCAAATGATTCATCAGGAAGATCCGAGTCTGACTTCAAAGGCTGAAGCTCACGACTCACGAGTCTGCTATCGCTGAAGGAAACCTCTGGCTGTGAGAATGAACGTCTCGAGTTTCAGAGACTGCAAGGCAAGTTAGGAATTGTAATTTGTTTACAATGTGTAATTCGCAAGCAACTTTTTATGGGTTTCTCGAGATAAAAGTAGCAAGCTGCAAATCCGAACTCGTTACATACGTCTCATTAGCTTTTACTAGGTTTGCGCTATTAAACACCTGAAAGGTGGAACGAAATGTTATTTCACCATGTCTGCAGTGCACTTTACAGACAGGACAAAAACTTTGTATCAAATACAATCTACTTAATATACGTAACGCTGTAAACAATGCAAAGAATAAATGCAAAAACTAACATGTAATGCACACTGTAAGGGTTTCAGTTTGTTAGCAGTTTTTTTATCACAACAGATCAATCCTTGTTAGAAGAAGTAAAGTTAATGTGTTTTGCATGTTGTTCTGCACAGTATATTGCATTAGATATTGTATTAAATATTGCTATGGTGGCACAAAACTAATTCAAGCAATCTTACCAGGCCAACATTTTCAATTACACTTCATACAGAATATCATCTCTGTTGTGCATGTGTTGTCAGGCATGGAAATCAGAAGGTCTGCCGTTGTCCACCAGCAGTAATGAGGCCTGTAAACTATACGATGCTATACTCTCTCAGGTACATATATACTGATACTGATAACTGCGTGCTTTTGCTTCTGCATATACAATAACCTGAATAATACTGTCTCTGGTGATCAGTATGTGACCTGGCGTAACAATGAGACACTGGGAGGAATAGAAGGCTGTATTACAGCCGTCAAAGCTGCAGACCCGGACTTTGGTATGTGATTGCAACACTTAACAGTGTAGTCTGTTAAAAGTCACTGTACAAAATGTTGTAACTATTAAATGGCTTCTGGATTTAAATTGCAGTGTTCTGCTATCACATTTTTTTAAATATCACTCCACAGTGATTTCCCACATAATATTTTTAAGTAATTTTATCTTAAAATCAATAATGTCCATTTATTTATTTGGTAAGTAGCCTTGTAATAAGTGTGATAATGTACATTCAGCTGGTCATTATCGCAAGATAAGCTCCTTCACGGTGATACAAGCCATTCATGGCTTTCCTAAATCCTCATTAGTCTCTTGTCTGTGCTGCAGTGATGGGTCATGTGATCTCTACTGGGCTGGAGTTGGTGGGAACAGGAAGTTCAGTCCTGCGGGATGAGAGATTGGCCAGCGCGGTGAGGAGGACCGTGGAGTTGGCGAACTCTCAGGAGCTCACGTCCAGAGAGAGGAGCCATGTGAAAGCCGTGGAGCTCTTCTCTAAAGGGTGAGTTTACACAAAGCAGACCAAGTGTACAAGAACACTCAACAGGTGACATAACGAACATTTCACATCCGCTTACACAGGAGGTGGATGGCATGGAGATTTTGCAGCCAATGTAATGGAGTTTTTTCTGACTCTTTTTAAGCCAAGTTGCCTGCGGCCCACAAGCAGTTATGAATTGGTTCTTTTAAGATTCATGTTCACTTTACTGTATCCTTGGGCAATAAAGTATCCTTGGGCAATAAAGAGTGTGACTGTCATGTGAAAGTTTAGGTCTGATTAAAGTTCTTGAATAAAGAAGCCTTTCTTACAGACGTTTTCCCATAATTTCTGTTCTCAGCACTAATTAATTTGCTTTAGTAAAACCAATAGTATTGTCAAAAGATCACTTTTAAAAGAGGGTTTGGAGGTGACCAATATATTTTATACATTTTAGCTGGTAAAAAAATACATTTCTGTTAAAAAAAGCTGTTAAAATCATATTCAGTAACTGAAATAAAAGTGAAATAAAATATAAATATTAAAGGGATAGTTCACCCAAAAAATGAAAATTCTGTCATTAATTACTCACCCTCATGTCGTTCCAAACCCGTAAGACCTCCGTTCATCTTCGGAACACAAATTAAGATATTTTTGATGCATTCTGACAGCTCTCTGACCCTCCCATAGACAGCAAGGGTACTACCACGATCAACGTCCAGAAACGTTGCAAGGAGATTGGTCAAATAATCCATGTGACATCGGGTTCAACCTTAATATTACGAAGATACGAGAATACTTTTTGTGCGCAAAAGAGAGAAAAAAAAAGACTTTATTCAACAATTCGTCTCCTCCGTGTCACCCTAGCGCCATTTTGGAGAGTATCCACTGAACGCAAAGAGCGTATGCTATTCTGTGTCAGCCGCAGCACACGGATATGTTGTCTACGTTGTTTGTGCTTTGATTTGAACGAAAACAACTTCAACAACTTTGTTGTTTTCGTTCAAATCAAAGCACAAATTGTTGAATAAAGTCGTTTTTTTTTTTCTTTTGTGCACAAAAAGTATTCTCGTAGCTTCGTAATATTACGGTTGAACCCCTGATGTCACATGGATTATTTTACCGATCTGGAATGTTTCTGGACGTTGATCGTGGTAGTACCCTTGCTGTCTATGGGAGGGTCAGAGAGCTGTCAGAATGCATCAAAAATATCTTAATTTGTGTTCCGAAGATGAACGGAGGTCTTTTTTTTTTTACTTAAAATGTTAAACCAGCAAATAAGTGAATACAATTATATTTTAAAGTAATTATTAAAGTATTTTCTGCTATATAAAATATCTTTATAATTCCTTATTAACTGAATGCACCATTATTGTAATGCATTATGCCTGCAGGCCCTGGCTCTGACTCCTGAGGATGGTCGTGGTAGTACCCTTGCTGTCTATGGGAGGGTCAGAGAGCTGTCAGAATGCATCAAAAATATCTTAATTTGTGTTCCGAAGATGAACGGAGGTCTTACGGGTTTGGAACGACATGAGGGTGAGTAATTAATGACAGAATTTTCATTTTTGGGTGAACTAACCCTTTAAATGAAAAACCTAAAAAAAAACTTAGTAGTGCTGAAATAAGTAAGTTTAAGCTGAATTACTAAAATTACAAAGGTAAATAGAAATATTTAGTAATATTTAAAAAAAACAGTTATTAAAACTAAAATGAAAATGTAAGAATAAAAGCTAATTAAAATATGAATAAATACTACAATAGTATATAAACAACACTGTTGTGTAAATGTCAAATGAATTGTTATGAATGAAGTAGACTGAATGTGTTTCAGAGCCCTGCATAAGGCCTGTGAGGTTTGGGAGGGTATTCTGGCGGATCACCCCACAGACATGCTGGCACTGAAGTTTGCCCATGATGGATTCTTCTACCTGGGTGAACAGACTCAGATGAGAGACTCGGTGGCCAGGGTTCTGCCCCACTGGAAACCACATATGCCGTTTTACAGGCAGGTTCCCGGCCCGTGCTCAACCAATCTAAATGCTGGCTTAAGATGTATTCTACCATGTGATGAATTGTGCAATACTTGTAAAAAAAAATATATATATATATTACATGCATATATACACACATATTATTTCTCATTTTTACTTGCATATTTATTTTTATTTAAAATAATTTGATAATTATTAATAATTGATAATATTGTTTTAATAATTATTTTGTTTATTTTTCATTTTACTAGGTTCATTTCTTTATGCCTACGGTACCTTTCAAAAGTCAACGTGGTCTA